CCCAGGCTGGGAGCTGTGTCATACCTCACAGTGTAAAGATTAAGGCCCAGACTGGGAGCTGTGTTATACCTCACAGTGTAAAGATGAGGCCCAGGCTGGGAGCTGTGTTATACCTCACAGTGTAAAGAGAAGGCCCAGGCTGGGAGCTGTGTTATACCTCACAGTGTAAAGATGAGGCCCAGGCTGGGAGCTGTGTCATACCCCACAGTGTAAAGAGAAGACCCAGGCTGGGAGTGGCCTTAGGCATCATCTGGTCACTCTCCCGCACTTCCCAGATCAGGTAGCTGAGCCACAAATGAAAAGTAGCTTTCCCCAAACCATTGTGAAGCAGAGCTGGACTCATGACTCCTGGCCCAGTCCTCTTTCCACTTCTCCACCCACTTTATTCATCACAGACAGAGGAGATGTTAACCTATCGTAAAGATCTCTGAAGGGGAAGTTCCACAGCTTCAGTTCTCTCATGTTTTCACCTTGTCTAACCCAAGTCCTTCATTCTGCACATTAAGCTACTTGTTCTTTCTCAGTCCTCTCTGAAGACTAAGAAGAACTAATTACAAAGAGATATTCCTTTTCAAATAGCTTCCATCCTACAAGTTGAATATTACATATACTATACACTCTTTAGACTTTTCCCATGGACTGTCTTTCTTGATTTTTAAATGATCTTAGCGGTTTTCTCACAATCCGACATTCTAGAGCTGGCAGGGCAATAGAGATGAACTAGTTCAACTGTCTCGCGCTCCTGATGAAAAAACTGAGGTCCAGACAAGGGGGTGACACCAGTGGTGGAAAGGAGACAACAGCCTAGGGATCACGACCTACAGCCAGGTCTGCTCCCCTATCACTGTCTCTGCTTCACCCTCTCTGCATTCTCTATGGCCCCTTCAGTGTGGCACTGACAACAGGGCACTCCTATCTCGTGAGGCTATCAGTACTGAATATAAGGGGGGGACTCAGCATGGCTGCTGGATGCCACACTATTTGTGCACCCATCATTCCACCTGCTTTTAAGATACAGACCTTAACTGTGGAAATCTCAGTCTGCCAACCACTATGCTACAACCACACACTACACCTGCACACGAGTACTACTTCCCAACCTTGTATTTGTGGACTGCCCAACCCCTTTTAAAAGATATTAGAAAACTGGACTGCAGGGGGAGACCTCCTGAGATTTAAATTTAGCCAATTTATCTTTCATAGTATTTCTGAGACCACTCTTGTTCTATTAACAGGAGTGTGGACACTGCATTGGTCTTTTTTGGACTCTTAGCCAAGTGGGCTTTGGGGCACCTGCAGAGATGCAGAGACCGTGGGGCAGCTGGTAGCTCCTCAGAGCGCTGCAGTTCTCATAAATGGAGCAAGCTGCCTGGCGGGGCCTTTAGCCAATCCTTTAGGCACTCTGGAAGCCTCACCTTTGGCAGTAAGTATCAGGACACAGTTGACTAATGGCCCCGGTGAGCTGGATGAGCCCTAACTAGCAAGGGCTTGGAGCCTGGCTGCTCGTAGAGTGAAAAGGTGTGGGCAAGCCTGCTCTGTATGGTTTTCATGGATCAGCAATACCTGCTGGTCCAGTGGGAACTCTTCCAGCCCCAGTTCTGAGGAAATTCAGAAAGAAGAAATCGGGGTTTAAAAAGACATTCCTGGGAAGCATTTGGCACAATTATAAACAGCATATTAAATTAGCAAAATGCTTTACAAATTATTTTCCAGACAACTCCACATACATCTCAGCAGGAGAAGTTCAGCTCAGACAAGTACAAGTTCTTATGCACTGGACAAAATTAGTTCAATTACTCATGCACACGCAAAGGTGCTTAATTAATCATAACAGCAAGAGAAGAAAAGAGCGGGCGAGGTCTACACTCATGGTCAGTAACTGATTTACCAAGTGCACAGACATATGCAGAAAACCAAACCAGAGGAGACTATATTAAGTATAAGAACCCCCTAAAAAAATAAGAAATATCCTTTATGAAAAAAGATGACACTAAATACATTTATACACACGAACAAGGATGACACCAAATGCCTTGTGTTTGAGTATGTTAAGCTTAAGAACATAATACTCACGCTCCTACAGTTGGCAGAAGTGGGGGGCACTTTCCTCATTTTACCTTTGAGGGAACTGATTCGGAGCTAGGTCTGGACTCCAGGTTACCTGCTTCCTGGGTTGCCCCACAGTAAGTAGGGCCTGCGTTCTCGGCTGATGAGATCTGTCCCCTTGCCAGGGCTGGTTCCTGTACACACTGTTAAGATGCCTAGCTGGACTAGGGCACTGTTAAGTGGCCCTTAGAGGGACAAAGGCTGTTTTCTTTACTAGGAATTAAGTGTTTAGCAAAACACTTAATATATACTGGGTGTTCAATAAATAATTTTTAACCCTATTCTTGGAGTGAAAAAAAATCAGAGTTGGATTCGATTAGTAGTTTAAAAAATCTTTCTGACAGCAGAACTGTTTTCTGAAACTAAGTCTTATGCAGAACTCCAAACTGTTCAGCGAAACAGATAAAAGGGGAATGACCCTGGTTGTGGCAGGGGAGGCAGGCCTGTTGCCTTGCCTGCTCAGCCTTCCACTTACCTCTTGTCTGAGGAAAGGGGTTTAAAACCAGAGGATTCTACACATTCTAAGGCCATTTTACAAGTCTGATTTAGGGCCATTCAGTTACTACTCGAGCAGTCCCTGGGTGGCGCAAACAGGTAACTGCCAACTACTAACTGAACGGTTGGCAGTTTAGACCACTCAGAGGAACCCTGGAAAAAAGTCCTGGCAATCCGCTTCTGAAAGGTCACATCCCTGAAAACCCCATGCAGTGCAGTTCTACTCTACACACATAAGGGCACCATGAGTTAGAACTGACAGCAATAGGTTTGGTTTAATTATTACTTGAGTGAGCTGAAATTTTTATTTCTGTATCATTTCAGGCCATTTCAACAACAGGAAGGGCTTTCTAGAGGACACTGGTAATTGGTAGCAGCTTAAGGAGGGTTTCACATGAACTGAATGAAAAGAATTACAAATGGATAGGAAACTGCTTTATGATTCCACTTACATGAAATAATCTAGAATGGGTAAATACACAGAGACCAAGGTAAATACACAGAGGTTACCAGAGGCAGGTGGGAGGGGGAGACGGAAATTATTGCTTAAGGGACAACGAGTTTCTGTTAAGGGTGATGAAGAACATTGGAAATGGATAGTGGTGATGGTTGCACAACATGACGAATGTAATTGTCACTGAATTGTGCACGTAAAAATGACTGAAATGGCAAGTGTTATATATACTTTATCACAATTAAAAAAATACTGAAAAAGAAAAATGAAAGAAACTTTTCCCATTGGGAAAACTGCTGTGAAGCTTTAGTCAGTACCATTTTCTATTCAAAATTTTCCGAGGTCCTACTATACGGCAAGTTCCAAGCTGAAAGTACAAAAAGCACAGGGTTGGGGGTGGGGAGGGGAGAAGAGCTGACAATTTGCCCTTAAAGAGGTTAATCACTTAGATGGCAGCTTAGTTGATGGCATCCATGAAAAGCGATCTTAGCCTAAGGTGCTCTTTCCTTATCCCCCCCCACCCCAGCTTTCCTGAATAGCCTACATTTGAGCTCAGTGGGAACCTTCTGTGGCCTGGTCTTTGGGCAGGGACCCACCTGGTACACCCTGCCACCGCCTCCGTATTAATGACGCTGTTCCAATCTAGTCCCCTCCCCAGCATTCTCAGCGCGTGCCCACAGGGAAGCGATGCACTGCTGGCCGCTGGCCTCAGATGCTCCTAGGCTGGCCCAACAGAGCTTTCTTGGTTGCATATGCTACACTCTATGGCTGGGGGGGAGCTGAGAGTGTTTTTATCTTTTTGTTTTGGTGGGTTGTTTCTTGTCAAGTGTAAGCTTGGAGATTCAGTGGAGGCCTGGTGGCAGTTCTCAAATAAGTACAAATAATGGTCTAAGGCAATTTCCTTTAGGAAGAAAAAAGAGAGGCTAATTAGGCTCACAAAGCAGTCAGCCTGTGCTTTTTTTGGCAACTACCAGAAGCAGGCTATGTGGCTTGCTGTGATCAGTGGGCAGTTTCTTGGTTCTGTTCTGTGCCAGTCGACTAAATCCACCCGCCCAGGCGACCAGCAGCAGAGATCATTGTGAGCCAAGCACAGACAGTTGAAGGCTCCCTCTGAGACCCTCTGCCAGATTCCACAAACACTAGGAGGCCAGAATGACACTCCCGGTGTTCCAGCCACGTTAATAGCCCAGAAAGAACTCTGTGAAACTGCTCCAGAGGCCAGTGGCTCAGAACAAATTGGAGGGATGACCTGTGGGTAGAGATGCACTTGTCCCCAGCACAGCCAGGAGTGAGTGCCCACAGGGAGTTATAACAGGGCCACTGGGGACCTCAGCATCACCCACTCCCTACCCAAGGGGTGGTGCTGGCCTCCCAGCCCTTCAACTCTGGCTAAGCAGCAGAACTCCTTTTATGCAGGCCCCTTCTCTGCCCCGTACCTGTAGGTCTTTGTCATGGCTCTGCCTTTCCAGGATCAGCACCCGGTCCTGCAGCTCCTCCACAGTCCCTTGGAGCAGGTCATTTTCCTCCAAGGTGGCGCTGAGACGATGCTCCAGCTCCCGTTTCCGGTCTGACAGCATCTTGATCTGAAAGGGTGGAGACCCACAGGGATAGTGTGGGGTTACACCTGGGCTGATGAGCAGGAAGGGAGGGACTAGCCCCAAAACACAAAGGTGTGTGTGCTGTCCAGAAGCTCTGTGGCCCCTCTCAGAGAAAAGAGCTGTGCAATCCTATGCTGAAGAGAAAGCTCCTCCCCTCTAGAAACCTGTCTGGGAAGAGGTGGGAGTTAGCTTTGGGGAAGCTGGAATGTTCGATGCCAGGCAGAGGAAGGGAAGGTTAGGGCTCTGGAAATTCCAGAGATAAGACAGATAAGCCCCACCTTGCCTGTCCTTAGCTTTACCCCAAGCCCTCCATTTGTGCGTGTGTGGCGGGGAGTGGAACCTAACCCGCTTACTACTCTACCTTCTCTGGTCAGAAGCACAAGAAAACACCCAAGAAACCCTCTGGAGCCACTGTATTTTATACTCTAGGGCTCCCTTCTCTCCTTTCACACTGCTGGCCTGTCTGGCTCTGGAGGTGACAGCTCAGCCGTGGTGCCCCGGGTCAGTGAAGGAGCTAGGAGGGTGCAGACAACAAAGCAGTGCCTGTATGAGCCTGTGTCCTGGGGTGACAGAGCGAATAACTGATTTCACTTAAAGTGTCTGTTGCCTGATCAAGTACTTTGTGAATAGAGGCAAATTCTCTCCCTTTACTAAACAGGATGGTGCACTGAGTACCTAGCCAGCTTCAGGATAGGTAAGTCTTTTAGGAAGGTCTGTCCAGACTCTTCAGTGTCAGCGAGAAAACAGAGGGAAAGAGGAAAGAGATGCCAAGCATTCTCCGGCCTTCCGAGGTTTGCAGGGTGAGGCGCTCAGCCAGTCCCTCCCAAGGCTTCACCCAAAGAACACTGCCCTGCTCACTGTTTGCGCTACAGAGAGCCTTCACAAGTCTGCTATGCTTTCTGGAAAGGTGTCTGACTTCTGATTCCTACTGGCATTGGGGGAATGTCTGAAGTCCTGCAGGTCCCCTGGCTCCTGCCGTTATCATTTGCCTGCTGGAATGATTTCTCAACCAGCTTCTGGTTGTAAATATTTTCCTAACATGGCTGAGATGCTCTCCAGGCTCTCTAATCTAACTTGGATCACAATTTTTTAAGGCCTTGACTTGGTTAAGTTCTGGAGACCAACCTCAGAACTTTTCCAGGGGAGACTTTGAAATGAATGTCTAGCTTGTCCCAGGTCCTCTGAGCTCCGTCCACCCTTCCCTCTGCATTTTGGCTGTTCTCAAATGCATTAGAATTGTGTTCACAGGGCACACATCTTCCCTGGCCACCAATCAATCAGACAGGATGCTGTCCTAGGGAAATGAATATGTGGCCTTTGTTCGGAGAGATCAGGTAACTGGCCAGACAAAGAAATACTGTCTCTCAAGTGTGTACCTGGGTAAGGGACCAAAAGGAGCAAGTGCCTTTTGTGAACGGGGCCACTATTCCCTATACTGAAGCAAAGTTACTCACATGAAGGGAATTCTTACTCTAGCTGATTTTCACTTAAATACCCTCTGACCTTTACATTTTTCTTCCCCTGGATAATCTTTGTTTCCCAAGTTCCACTCAGTGAAGTAATAAGGTAATGCGAGTCTGACACACAACTCCAACCCCTTAAAATAGCTGAGAAGTTCAGAGCTACATGAAGTAACTTATCTGAAATGAATAGTCTCATAGCTGGCTTTTAAAAGCAGCAGTGACACTGGGATGAAGCAAAGAATTGGCATTAGGCTGCCAACTCCTTCACCCCACCTTACACACCCTGAAACTTGTGACCAAATCTGGCAATAAGCATTCCTGGGAATGCCTCCATGCCGCGAGGGTCTAGAAGTGGGGAGGAGGGGAAAGAGGAAGACTGGCAACTCAAAGGAGCCAGAGCTTGGCAGAGGCAGTTGAACAGCAAGTCATGCACACAAATGGTCACAGACACGCATGCCAAACTCCACTGGAGCAAACTCTACTTACTTCAAGTACCTGCTGCTCAATACCCGTAGGAATTCGAAGGGAAGGGAGGAAGGAAGGGGATGGGAGGCAGGAGAAAAGAGAAGATATTGACAGATTTTAGGAAAAACATCTTCAAGCAATTTACAAAGCAGAGGAGCAGCCAGTCTGGGCAACTCCAGGGCCTGGTTACAGCACAGTGGAAGGTGCTCATTCAGTCTAGACCTAGACCATCCTTCAAAGTGCTACTTGGCCAAAGGGCTGCTGTTGAAACACTTAGCTGAGGGGTTCTGAGGAGCAGATTAGGTAGAAGCCTCCCCAGGGAAGAGCCCGTTTGGGCTGGTGACATGACCCTCCCTCTCTTCTCACCTCCCACAAAGGGATTCTCACTGTAATGTCCCTGTGCGCTACTTTCTCTTTCCTTCCCTTGGGTCCACTCAGGGCCTCAGACCCTGGCTGCCATGTTCTGGCCTCTAACAGGCACCAAACAATGTGCTTTCCACGTATTAACTCATCAAGCCCTTACAACAACCCTATGAGGCAGGTACTTCTATGACCCTCATTTTTCAGGTGAGAATAATAAAAACCCAAACCAGTTGCTGTCAAGTCGATTCTGACTCATGGCAATCCCATGTTAAAGTGGGCTAAACAGGGCCTGAATGGAATGGAGAAAGGAAGGATTTCCTTTCCCATCTTCTATTTGGGATTGGCAAGGATTTGGAGGGGTCAACACAGTCAGTGAAATGTAGGTCATTCATGATTTCAGCCCACTCAGCAGGAACTGTAAGCAATCCCTCAGCAACTTTACTTTTCCAGACAACAGGCCACTCAGAGGAACATGGATCACATGTTCCCCATTTAGCTTCTCACAGATCTCTCTTCAGAGATTTCAGTCACTACTCTATAGAGCAGGCTTTTGTTCCCAGTTCAGAGGGCCCCTTATCCAAAAGATCCAGTACAGCGCCTCCAAGGAGAAACGCACTTTCATCCCCAAGCACTGCCACATGGGAGATTCACCTCAGCCTGCAGGCTCTCAAGCCGGATGATGTGCTGGTTGGTTGAAGAGTTTTTCTCTCGGAAGTCTTCTCTGAGGGCGTGGACTTGCATGGAGAGCTGTCTCTCAACTTCTGATGCCTGTGAACAGAGGTGACCTTGCATTAATTCAGAGGTTGTGCAAAGAAAGTCTGTTAAGATTTCTGCCTTTCATTTCTCAAACATCTTTGCAACTTTCATTCTAGAACGAGTACTGAATGAGATGCTGGTTTCCCACCCCCGGTCCACATATTCTCTATGCCAAAATGAGACAAGTCCCCACCCCCACCTCTACCATACTCTGGCTCTGTCTAGGTTCGAGACCACTTTACTGATCAGAAGAAATAGGCCCAGGAAATAGTAAGGTCTCAAATGTTAACTATCTTCATTATCACTTTGCACGTAGTACAGGTAGACCAAATCTGTTGCTGTTGAGTTGATTCCAACTCATAGTGACCCTATAAGGCATAGAAAGTAGCACTGCCCTATAGGGTTTCCAAGGCTATAATCTTTACAGAAGCAGACCACCACATCTTTCTCCCACACAGCAGCTGGCGGGCTCAAACCGCTGACCTTTTGGTTTGCAGCCAAGTGCTTAACCACTGCGCCACCAGGGCTCCTTGCAGAAGCACATAGCAAATATCTACCAAACTGAGAGAGAGCCTCAGTATTTTATATGAAAGAATAAGAAAGTTATGCCTACTGCCTTGAAATTCCTTTATTTTCCCCACCCATTTCTTAGCTGGGCCCAGGCAAAGCACTTCTGTCTACATTTATCGTTTCCATTTTAAATGTTCCCTATTTGAAATTCCCTGTTCATATCTGTTCATATTTTTGCCACTCATTCCTCAAGGACCTTTTTGCAACTTTTAATTCTCTGGGGAGTGTGGGCTGAGGTACTTATTTTCCACCCCAGTCCATCTATGCTCTAGTGTTGAAACATGGTGTTATTAGGTGCCACTGACTCAATTTCAACTCATAGTGACCCTAAGTGACAGAGCAGAATTGCCCCGTAGAGTTTTCTAGGCTGTAATCTTTATGGGGAAACCCTGGAGGCGTAGTGATTAAGTGCTACGACTGCTAACCAAAAGGTCGGCAGTCCAAATCCACCAGGTGCTCCTTGGAAACTCTATGGGGCAGTTCTACTCTGTCCTGTAGGGTCACTACGTGTCAGAATCGACTCGATGGCAATGAGTTTGGTTTTTTTTTTTTGGTTTAATCTTTATGGGGGCAGATTGCTAGGTCTTTTCTCCTGAGGAGCTGCTGGGTGGGTTCGAACTTGTAACCTTTCAGTTAGCAGCCAAGCGCTTAACTGTTCTGCCACCAAGCCATCTTGCCGAAACACAGTAAACACCATTCAGTGTGCCAGCACCTTCTTTTCAATACGTAGGAGGGTCATCTGAAAGAATGCTCCTTTGTTAACATGTGAACTCCAGCCAACCACCTGAGGCCTACCTAGACCCCTCTGAGGAGAGCACTCAGTGCTTCAGGGCCACAGGATAAATCAAGTAACTGCCTTAGTGCTTTTTTTAAGGCTACATCAGGTCGGTAAGCTTTATAGGTTCTCGGGAGGGATCGCTGTGTGCTGGAATGGTTAGGAAAGGCATTTGGAGGAGGTGAAATGGTGATCATGCTGAAATGGTACGCTAACTGTTCAGTGAGGCTCTGACCGTAATGGTTACATACTCAATAGTTCTTTTTACCTCAAGCACTATATAATCAATTGTCTATCTTTTTTTTTCGGTTCCAAAGATTCAACAAATGTTGCCTCACTGGACTAGAGAATCACATGAGAATCTTAACTTACAGTTCTAATATTTAAACAATACTTAACAAAGCACACAACAAAGTAATATCAAACCATCTCTTTTCCATCCAAATTTCAAATTTAATTTTAGGCACTACTAGCTTTTTTTAGACTTTTCAGTCACTTACTAACACAACGTTATTCAGTCACCCTTGTCTAATAATGATATTAGTAATATTTCTGAGTTCTTACTATGTACAAGAACTGAGCTAAATGTTTTAAATGCATCGTCTCGTCGTTACAACCAAGGCACGGCCTTTCACCACCGATTTCCTAGTGAGGGAACAGGCTCGGAGAAGTAAAGTAACTTGCCCAAGATCTCAGTAAGTGGCACCATCAAGATGGGAAACTTTGGGTTGTCTAACCCCCACTTAGGAGTACAATATTGCCTTCTTATATTTTGAAATAGTTTTTCCTACATCAGAATTGTATCACTCACTATTAAAACCAAATTTTACATGAGCACCATTTAACAAAGTTTTTTTTTTTTTTTTTCTTCTTCTTCTCCTTTTAATGTGAGGAAACTTCATTTAAGTGTCTTTTGAAATGTCTTCTAATGGAATTTAGGACCCATAAGGAGAACTCCCTCTCCTATGCTGCAGTTTGACTGCCTGCATTGAGTGCAGTTGACTATTGGAGTTTCAAATATGTTTAGGCTTGCAAAGCACTGGGTAACTCAGGCAACCAACCTTACTCCTAGCATAACTACCTTGAAATCATTCATGAGACAACAAGCCAGAGAGATTCACCGAGGACTACAAATCTAGCCCAGCTGGAATCGGAAAGGCTCCTGTAGACTAGCCCCCTCTCAAGGCAATCTCTCTGGAAACAGAAATTTGCCTCTTCCTACCAGGAAGTACAACTCCAGAGCCTGAGTTCTTAATCACTAAGCTATAATGTCTCCTTTAAATGTTTTACTCCTTTGCATGTGTCCAAGGATGCACTGTTTACAACATACATTTCCTCATTTGAATCTCCAACAGCCCTAAGAAGCAAGAATCACCGGCCTCATTTCACAGACAAGGAGGTGGAGGCTAGAGGGAGTGCCATGTACTGCCAAGATTGCTCAGCTACAGTGGCACTGCCCTGATCTTCAGCCACACCATCGCCACAGTTCAGCCTGTGGGCCAGTCATTTCCTTCAAATGGTGATGGAGGGGATTTATCAGTCAGGGTTATACACCTACTATTCTCAAGAAGCTAATACACCTTTCAAAGTAAATTTTTTTTCTTTTTTCAGAGATGGAATCTGACTCAGATCTTTAGACTTGACTAACAGAAGTATTACTTAACAATTTCTGCACATAAACTAAATAATAATCTTGTAAGTTTATATGCAACTATAATGTTCTAAATGCTTTCCTATCAAAGAATCAGGAGGCCTACAGGGCTAGCATTAGCTCCATAAAGAATTCCAGAGCCTCTGTGAAGCTCTCCAAGTAGCAGAGTTAGTCAGAACAGGGACCGTCTGCTCCTAAGATGGAATGATCGTGTGATGGAAAGAAAAAAAAGAGTCAAATGATCAGGGTTAGAGTTCCTATCCTACCACATATATGTGTACAAGTTATATGAGCCACCTGACCCCTGGGACTTTTTTTTTTTTTTTTTGGACGGGGAGTGACATTAGGACAATTCATTCTTATAGTAGAAAATGGCAGGCATGGGTCTTATATTTACTTCTCAAAAATCAGGATGAGTTCTGGCTAGTTACACAGCCATTAAGAGCTAAGGCAAAACTGTGACAAAGAATAACATCTGCAATCATAGATGGTATGTATGATTTTAGTTCAGGTATTTGTTCTTTTTTTAAATTTAATTTTTTTTCTATAATTAAAGTAACTAATGTTCAGAGTAAAGAGAAAAAAACAAAGAGAATTTAAGGATTAAAATGAAATGTAAAATTTACCACTTATCCCTAATCCTTAGTGCCACTCTCCAGAGATAATCACTATTAGAGATGTTTTTTATGAGTCCTTCTAGAAATTTTCTATTCATATCTATGTAAGACATTACCATAAAAAACTTACTTAAAAAAATATATAGTTAACATCCTTCCATGTCAATATGAAGATCTATCTCATTCTATTTAACAATTGTTTAGTATTCAGTTGTGTGACTATACCATAATTTAACTAGTCCCTGCTGGTGAGCATTTAGAGTTTTCCAATTTATTTATTTTTTGGTCATTACAGACATTGCTGCAAAACCATCCTTGTTCACCCATCTTTGTGCTTATGGGAGTATATCCTATAAGTGTATAAATTCCTATAAAAGGAATTGCTAGGTAAAAGAATACACATAAACTTTTTGATAGGTATTGTCACAATGTCCTCCAAAAAGACTGCATCCATTTATATCCCTACCCACAACAGACTAACTAACATGCTTGGGTACTGTTAGACATTTTGATCTTTGGATGCTTATTTCTAAAATTCTCAAAAATTTAAGTCTTTCTCAGTTTCACCGCATACAGACTGGGTGATAAAATAAAAGACATGAAAGAAATAACTAGGTCTGGTGTGAAATGCTGAAACGTTTTAACACTTATACTATTACACTGAACTATCTGAAATGAACTCTTATAATCTGAGTGCTTGGGTTATTATTATTTAATTAATCCTCAAGTTGGCAAAACATACCAATAGTGGGTTCCTTCTCCCTGATGTGCCTGATTTGGTAAGAGCACCACTGAAGACAGATTCCTCCCTCCCCACTGAGGAGAGGGGCTCCATTATTACTTTTCTTATTGCCATGATTAATAACATAACATTTCTCTAAACTGGGCCAATTCGATTAAGTTTATTTAAAGTGGCCAAAGCAGAACTGTTAACTATAGGCTTTGTTAAATGGAAGAAAGGAAATTGCATTAGTTATACATGAGCATCCATTTAACTTATCAAAAGAAAGAAAATAAACCAACTGACTTAGAAATTTTTGTAGGGAATTTTTAACATTCTGCCCAATTTACTGAGTTTTACTTTAAGAAATTCTCCATCGTTTTTGTGCCAGGGCATGACGGATAATGGGCATCTGTCTGAAACACGCTGGGGGTGGTAGTAAGAGACAGTGAGGAAGACGATGATGACGACGGCAAAGGTTCACATATTGAGTATTATGTGCTTCACCCTGTTCTAAGCATTACACATTTATCATCTCATCTAATCTTCACAATAAGAAGTAGATAATCTAACTTTCTCTATTTAAGGGTGAGGATACTGAGGTTAAGTAATTTTCTAGGTCATACTGGTGTTAAGTGACAGAACTAGAATTTCACCCAGATCTCCTACTTCTATAGT